GAGGGAAAGAGAACAGCACACAGGGAGCTGAATGATGTAGCAGAAATGTACTGGACCCCATAGAACAGTGCACATCACATAATAAACTTTGAATAAGTCATTCACTGTCTGTTGAATGAATGAATGACCAACCTTGTGAGAGAGTTAATGTTGTGATTGTGGAAAATAGACCAGTCAAGGGACTTAGAGAATATATCTGAGATCCTTGGAGATCTGAGGAGACAGTGCGGTTGCAGGAACTACCTATGAAAGTCTAGTTAGCTTTGGGCTCAGATAAACCTGGGAAACACTCTAAAGTTTGAATGAAATCTGTGGTATAGGGTCTAGCTCCTGTTGGTAGCTTACAATGGACCCCAACAACCATTTCAATAAGGGTAACCCACAGAGGACCAGAGGAGGAGAGGTAAACCTCTTCAACAGTCCAGCAGTTTTGAGGAAGCCTCTCTGGAAGGCATCACCTGGACTTACAAGCCTCATTCTTACTGGAAGCTTCAGCTAGGCAAGACTCTGGACAAAGGGATCCAGATAAACTAGTTGTTTTGTTTCTTTTTTAAAACTATTTTATTTCTTATTTTTATTTTACATATATGAGTGTATTGCTTATAGGTAGGTGCAATGCCCAAGGAGGTCAGAAGGTGTTGGATCCCTTGGAACTGGAGTTATGGCTGGTTTTTAGCCGCCACATGGGTACTGGAAATCAAATCCGGGTCCTCTGCAAGAGCAGTGAGTGCTCTTAACCACTGGGCCATCTCTCAAGCCCTGTTTTTTTTTTTTGTTTTTTTGTTTTTTTTTTGCTGGAGGTGTGGGGGGTGATCTTGAGATAGGGTCTCACCCTGTAATTCAGACTGTCCTGGAATTTACTAAGTGGTCCAGTCTGGCTTCTTCAAACTCATAGCAATCTTCCAGCCTCAGTCTCCCAAGTGCCAGGATTACAGCTATGACTCACTTGGGATATGTCCTACTTGGGATAACCTGCTTTCAAAAGATAACCAATGATTTTCTGATTTGTCTTTGGGAAGAGAATTTTTTTTTGAGAAAAAAAAAGAAAAACTAAAAAACAAAATGTTGCCTGGTGTAGTGTCATGAGTTCAAGGTTAATAAGAACTACAAGATAAGACTGTCAAAAACAAAAATTTAATAGGCTTTTAGTTATGCAAAGAAATTCCCTATCTTTTGGGGAGTGACAGTGAAGAGATAGACTTTTCTGAATAACAGTACAAAAAGCTGTGGCTAGGTGCTTGAAGACTTGCCAAGTATGCACAAATCCCTGAGTCTGATCCCCAGCATAAAATTAAATTGAAAGTTAAAAATCAGGGAGGCTACTGGAGAAATGGTTCAGCAGTTAAGTGCATATACCCTTTCAGAGGACCTGAGTGCAGCTCTCAGCACCCACATATGGCTGGTAACAACTGCCTGTAACTCCACCTCTAGGGTGCCTGGTGCTGCTGACCTCTACCAGTACCTGCATTCATGTACCTACACACACAATTACAAATAAAATCTTTCTTTTTTTAAATTTAAAATAGGGGGTTGATGATTTAGCACAGTGGTAGAGCCCTTGCCTAGCAATTGCAAAGCCCTGGTTTTAGTCCTTAACGCAGAAAAAAAAAAAAAAATTTTTTTTTTTTGGTCTTTTTGAAACAGCGTCTCCCTGCCCCAGCTGACCTGGAACTCAGTGTGTAGATCAGGCTGGCCTTGAACTCACAGAGATATGCCTGCCTCTGCCTCCCTAGTACTGGGACTAAAGGCATAGGCCACCCTGCCTGGCTTAAGAAAAAAAAAATTTAATAGGAAAGGAGGGCTGGAGAAATAGTTTAATTTGTTTAGAGCGCGTACTACTCTTCCAGAGGACCCGAGTTCAGTTCCCAGCAGCTATGTTGGATGACTCACAATATGTAACTCCAGCTCCAGGGGATCAGGTGCCCTCTTCTAGCCTCCTCTAGCACCCACACACACATGGCATACACACACAGACATACACATACACACATTTATGTTTATTTATAAATAAATAAAATTTTGTTTTGTTTTGTTTTTGAGGCAGAGTCTCACTATGTACCCCTGACTGCCTGGAACTCCATGGGTAGACCAGGCTGGCCTTGAACTCACAGAAATCTGCTTACCTCTGCCTCCCGAGTGCTGGGATTAAAGTTGTGCACCATCATGCCCGGCATAATTGAAAAAAAAAAAAAAAAAGGAAAGGAAGCTACTGCTTCATAGGCAGGGTCTCACACTCAAGTGGCAATAGCCAGGAGCTGAGCTGGAGACCCGAGTTTCTTCCCAAAGAACTTCAGGGACGCTGAATCCTGGGTCTTCAGGTGAGGCCTGGGCTGGTTGGCCTCCTAGTTGAGAGAAGTGTTTGTAGATGAGACAGAGCTGAGCCAGCCAGTGGGGATGCATCTATCTGGGACACCCACTGGGTGCCAAGTACTTGAGATGGAAAGTTAAGGTCTGCAGACTCAGCCCCTGCCTTCCAGGAGTTTAATATTTCCCAACTGTTTACATAATTAACTGTTCAGTTACAATCTGGAAAGCTTGATGAAGAAATAACAGAGTCTAAGAGACTACAGGTCATGTGTGAACATACGAATCCTACTTTTTGCAAGGCTCTTGAAAGTGATACTATCATTTATTGATTTTACTGAGGAGAAAATAAGACAAGCATGAGTGATAGTGAGATTTGAGCCACGTATGTCTCCATCCTGACAAAGGGGACCTGACAAGTCCAGAGGGCTGTCCTGGGGGCAGTAAACTGAGACTGAAGAATGTGTTCAGATTAACCCGACCAAGAGGGTTTGAAAGGTCAAACTACGAAGAGGGAGTGTCATGTGCAAAGGCACAGGTATAGGATGGGAGTGAGGAAAAGTGAATGAATGTAGATGTGGGCAAGACCATGACATCATGCCAAAGCTATCTACATAAAAAGTATGAGAAAGTATTTGAAATTTCAATAGCATGGTGATTCTCACTGTAACCTCCATCCAAGTACTAACCAAGCCCAACCCTGTGCAGCTTCTAAGATCAGATGAATTCAGGGTGTTGTAACCACAAATGTACCTATAATCTCAGCAATCTGGAAGCAGAGTCAGGAGGATCATTGAAAGATGGAGAATATCATGGTCTTAATAGGGAGTTTCATACCAGCCAGGCTACACAGCAAGATCCTCTTTCAACAAACAAAAAAAAACATAAATTTATTTTTATTTATTTATTTATTTTTGTCTTTTTGAGACAGGGTCTCCCTGTAGCCCCAGCTGGCCTGGAACTCACTTTGTAGACCAGGCTGGCCTCAACACAGAGCTCTGCTTGCCTCTGCCTCCTGAGTGCTGGTATTAAAGGCATGTGCCACCATGCCCGGCTAAATTTTTAAAATTTAAATTTAAAAGTGGGAGCTGGAGAGATAGTTCAGCGGTTTCAACCACTGGTTGTTCTTCCAGAGGACCTGGGGTCTGTTCCCAGCACCCACATGGCAGCTAACAACCATCCTCAACTCCAGTTCCAAGAGATTCTGTGCCCTCTTCTGGCCTCTGTGGGTATTGCATGCAAGGGTGCACTTACATATATGCAGGCAACACACACATTAAAAAAAAATTAATGGGGCTGGAAAGATGGCTCAGCAATTAAAAACACTGGTTGTTCTTGAAGAAGGCCCAGGTTCGAATCCCAGAACCCACATGGCAGCTAACAACTGTCTGTACCTCCAGTTCCAGGGGATCCGACGGCCTCTTCTGTCCTCTGTGGGCATTGCATGACATGGGTGCACTTACCTACATGTAGGCAATACACACATACACATAAA